GGGGGGGTTGTGTGGCGTTCGCATGTGCAAGTGGCTGGTCGGGAAGGGCTTCACTGGGGTTGCACCGTCGCAAAGTGCGCACCTGTTTAGTGTCTCGGGCGAGAGGGATTCCGCGGAATTGTCCTCGGTTGCGCAGTTGTTTAGCGCGTCGGCTCTGCCACGAAGACGGGTTGATTGTATTCAATAGTGTGTTGCGTTTAGTGCAGGTGTTCAGCGTGTCGGTCGTTGGAGTCGACGACGAGATCATTCAATGTCGTCGTGTATTGTGTTTCTATATTCGCAGTTCGCTGCGCGACAAGTTTATAGCGCTTTCAGCGCACTTTTTTTTTTTATGTCATGAGTCCGTTGTTCTCGTGTCATCTGTGGAATGATTTAAAGATGATTGCAGATGATTGCCTCCTATGCATGCACGCAATCCAGGTTCATGTATCTCTGTTTCTTTTGTGTCGTAGTTAACTAACGTTAAGCAGCTTGCATCAACAATTTGAAAACCCATCTTTGACGTCACACCAGAGAAGCAAATGAAAACATTTGCGACAAACGAATTGAAGAGACACACAAAAACAAATGAGCAAGGAATTGAGGACACAGATAAAAAAAAAGAAAAAAGGATCCTACCACACCGAACCATTCGAGACATGCGATGTGAAGACAAACATAAAAATAAATAAATAAATAAATAAATAAATAAAAAACAACAAACGAGAGAGACACACAAAAAAAAGGTTCTTTTAATATCAAACGTTCGTACAACTATACAAACCACGCAACCGTCCACACGACGAAAACAAGAAAGGAAGTTACAGACGACAACCATGCCGCCATACAATCGACCCTGCGACTTCGCGCACGACGCCAATGGACGAGGGCCACATGTCAATTCCACCCGCCTGCCGATCGCACCAACTCACATGCTATCGCCCCCTACCCAACCCCTGTCTCTTATACACATCTAGATGTGTATAAGAGACAGGTGCGGAAGATGCGTCAGCAACGGTGCCTCGTCGTGGAGCGCAAGGTTGGGCGGCGGCAGCAGAAGGGGACTACGACGATGAGTTCACGACGGAGGAGGAGCAGGCGGAGGCGACCANCCTACCCCTCCCGTCCGCACGGTCCTACATCAGAGCTATGTGGTCTCGAAGTGCATCCCGCAACAAGTCCCCGTCCACGTCCGTGCTCCGTCGCTGCCCGCCCGCTCCATTCCCCACAATGCCCAAGTCTACTCTACCCCGAATGCCGTTCTCATCCACCTCCCACAAAAGGTTCTCATCGAAGTCGATCCCCTCGTCGAGGAGGATGTTGTGGAGAGTGCACACGACCTCGAATTGTTGTGGCAAGGTCTCCAGGTTCGTCTTGTGGGTGCGCAAGAACAGACGCCACATGCACTTCAGTCGCCCAAATGCCCTCTCCACACACCCCCGCGTCACCTTCTGCCGCGTGTCGAAGCGCTCCTCGTCAGGATCTTGGTCGATTCCTCCGTACGGCTGCACGATCCATGGACAAGCAACTGGATAACCGTTGTCGCCTAGCAGGTAACCTCGCGTGACGACACCGTGCGGCAGATTCTCCGGAGGTGCGTCGAACAGCTCGCCAACTTCTGCATGCCTCCACAGCTGGGAATTGTACAGGATACGGACATCGTGCACACTTCCTGGGTATCCGATGTGGACGTCGAGGATCCGCAGATCCAAATCCACCACCACCTGCACTTGCACGGAGAACTTCTGTTTGCGGTCGTAGAAGTTGTCCGAAGATGCGCCGGCGGGCTTGTCAATGTAGATGTGTGTACAGTCGATCGCGCCAAAGCAGTTCGGGAAACCCTTGTCACGGAATGCGCGCAGAATCTGCGCACGTCTACGCCTGCAGCAGCGCCAAAGTGACGTCGCGGACGGCCTGCAGTCCAGTTGCCCTGCCGATGCTGAAGGCTGACGTGCCGCTCTCGTACGTCTCTCGTGACGCCCACCTGTACAACGCGAAAGCGATCACCTGCTCCACTGGCAATGACATCCTATAGTGCGTCACCTTCTTCTCCACGTACGCGGCGCACGGGGCTACGATCTGCCTGAACATGGCCATCGACATGTGCAACTTCTGCCGGTAGTACTCGTCTGTCGCGTCATCACAGAGGCGGAGATCCTCCCATGTTCCGCCAGTCCGTCGTTTAATCCACCAATGCGGGGTCTGCCGCGGGAAAACGCCAGATGACAGCGCGGCACACAACTGGACGACTGCCTCACACGTGGCCACACAATCCGGCGCTTCGGCAATGCGCTGCAACAGCGCTCTTCGTTTTCGGAGCTGCGTCAGCATGTCGCTTGAGGACGACGACATGCCGCCCATTGTGTTCACGACGACGGCGGTAACCACCATCGCCACCTCGTCGATCTTCTCTTCGCGCAGACCGTGCCTGCTGCCGCGAACGTCCATCTCTGGGAATCGTTCTGCCCCCACAGCGTGACGCCTGCCACAGCCGCCGAAGACATGCCCGCTGCTGAACCAAGCGAAGAGAGACCACGCACGCCGGACCCGTAGATGCGCCCGCTGCCGTACGCTGCAACAGGAGATGGCGTACGCCGGAGTCGACGACGCGCCCGCTGCTCTATGCTTGCACAGGACAGCACACACGGCGGAGGTGAAGATGCGCCTTGCCGGAAGTTGCCCCCGCTGGTAACAACTTGCGTGGAGTCGGGAGATGGATACCTGCGCCGAATGGTTCGCCAGCGCCGTCTTTTGTACGTCACACGCGTCGCCTGGCCGTCCTTCGCCCCTGCCGCCTTGCATCCGCGAGAATTTGAATTTGAATTTTTGAAGTTCTGGGTGACCGCACTTTTCACCCACCCCTCCTCACCCGCCCAAGGCCTCCGCAGTGTGTACCACGGACATCAGCCAGGACCCGGCGGACATCGGCGACGCGGCTGCGTATACAAATATGAGAACGGGCCGCGGGAGACCTTTTAGGACGAATCCTAAAAGATGATTTTTAGGACTGCGTGTAACGACGCCGCACGAAATCCTAAAAAACCTTTAGGACTCGTCCTAAAAATTTTAGGATTCTTTTAGGAGTGTCTAACGAGACCCTAATTGCAAAAATATTGCTTTTTCCAAGTTTGGCAGCAAAAATGTTGTCGGTTCAAAGTTTCCTTTCCAAAAACAGAGGTTTCGTTGCAACTGTACCGGGAACCTGTAGTTTGCCAGCAAAAATGTCGCCTTTTGCCAAGTTTCACAGCAAGGGACCCGTAGGCCTCTGGCCTCAGGTACTTCGGCACTCGGCGTTCGGGCCTCAGGTACTCAGGGGCAACATTTTTCTTTTTTTCTTTTTTTCCGTTCTTTTTTCGTTGTTTTTTTTTTTTTTCGCGCGGCCGAGGCATCGCGGCCGTGGCACAGCCACGCGTAGAGGTGCTTTTGTTTTCTTTTAAATTTCCGTCGTGGCCGAGGCATCTCGGGCGTGGCCACGGCCGAGATGCCTCGG